CGCACACACACACACACACACGCACACACACACACCACTCGAGCATATACAGATGAACGCGTTCACAGCAACAGATTACGTCATCTGCACATATAGCAAACAACTAGGAAATAAAAAAACCGTTATTGAATGTATGATTAAAGTAGTGATGTTTCTTCGTTCAACATAGCAGTGGAAGGATGGCTGATGAAATTTTCTTTTAGTTTTCCAATCTAATGTACTCGCTCCTTTTCTCTGGTTGTTTGATTCTGGTGTTTGAACAAAACGCTAGCGCTGCAAGGTAAGCAGGCACGCTTGCCTAAATTTGCAGGTTACTTCGTAAATGCGAAAAATGCGAATGAAGTTAATAGGGAAGAGCTTAGAAGAGGGCGTTAAGCGAGAATTTGAACTTAGAGCATCGACAAACTTTGCTGCGTGTGCGAAGAAACAGGCGACCTAGAAAGAAAGCTACGTGATAACATATTATGAAAATAAGCAATGTATAGAGAAGACATCACCACGTGCTAGCACGTCTCCTGTCGCACTTACACAAGGACACACCATGATGCATTGACCTCGAAGAAGATGGCCATTCACAGAATAAATCTCGCTTTCTTTATTTTGCTCGCTGGTGTTCCTCAGTCGTGAATCGCTAACAAAACATCGCCCAGCGAAGAAGCAGCATGGAGGTACACAGACGTACGCCCCATGAGCAGCTTAATGTAGCTACGAGGCCACCCAATCAACGACCTCGCCGCGGCACGTCCCGCTCAGGGCCGGGCTTACTTCACCTCGTGAGATTTGCAAGCAGATTGCTACAGAGGCACTCGACTGATGTTGGCACATCCTTACGACTCTCGGCTGAACCTGAACAAGCGTCTTGCATTTCCCGCCTAATGCCCTCGAGCTATATAGATGCTTTCGAGTGGTGACACGAGTGTTTTTCTTCTCATGCCGCGTCACACCCGCGCTGTTATGCCGTCATGAAGCAGTGATTTCGGCCTCACAACGTAAATGGTCGTTACCGTTACGCTATGCTCCCTGCGAGAGAACTACCCGACAGGACAGCACAACGAATGAGCCGGTGCAGACGGTCCCGATACGGCCAAGCCCGATTGTACGCGAGGGTACGATTTCTGGATATCCGCGTGTTTACTTGTCACTTCGTGAATAGTTGCCTAACACGGAGAGTTAAGTTGGACATTAGGACCACGTGCATAGAGCCACTGCACGAAGCTCCTGCCGCACGTAGATTTCTTGTCCGTTACGGACGTCCCGCCCCGATTTCGCAGACGAGCATTTCTCGTTCTCTTGAGAACCATAAAGCAAATGATGTTCCAGTAATTCCTCAGAGAGAGAGAGAGAGAGAGATGCAAGGAAAGGTGGTAAGGTTAACCAGACCCTGCTCCCTGCACTTGTGGAAGAGATAAAGGGGGCGAAAAGATTCCTCAGGTTGCTCAAACCATTTACGTCCTCGGAATTGTACATGCTTATACTATCGCCGATCAGTGCAAACTTGTAGTGTGCATTATACCTTTAGACTATGTTCACGAATTTCTACCACACTACAGTTCTTTCCAGCAGAAAGTCCTAGACAATCTCGGCACGGAATTTACTATTAGTGAAGATGAACGGCCCAATGAAGAAAAAAAAACAGCAGTTACAAACGAAAAGTTTTTCTGACCTGGCTCCTGGTCATTTCGCGCAAATATATTTTCTTGCGTGGGCATGTGTGAGAAGGCTACAGCTTTCAGTAAAGTTTGTGGATTACAAAATACTCATTACAAGCAGAAAAAAAGTTTCTTCGGGCCCTAACACTTATTATCGTCGCGTCTAGATGGCTGTCTTACGATACTACGTCTTCCATCACCTGGTGACCCACATTCTTGATCTAACCGGTTGTATGGAGATCATCCAAAGGATATACCGGATATTGCCTATGTCGTATTAAAAAAAATGGGCAGAGCCCATATACCTTGAAAATTGGCGTTATGTGAAGCATGTGGGTAGAAGGGCGTTAGCTACACGCACCACCAGTATGTACTGTGGTAGGCTGAAATGTTTTACAAACACGTGATGGTTGCTACGTGTGCGCACATTGTGGATACGCGTAAATCCGTGACGTGTGTTCATGCGTCCATGGGTCATGAAAACACGTCCAGTGTGCTGTTGACATCTTAACGCGGTGAGTGTCAGCACCATCAGCATAAGCATAGTTGTCACTATAATAGTCCGTTAGGGTGGCGATGAGGTGCCTATGTACACTGAATTATGTTTAGTTGCCTGAAATTATTGGTGCATGTCTCTTACGAAGAAGTGGTCGATGACACTTTCAATCACCTAAGGCACATACTCGCTTACCTGTGGCACACACTCTGATATGTGCCATACTTCTGGCGGGAATAGTTTGACGACGTACGGGACTATATTGTGACAATATTGATATAATGACCAGTGAGTCATGTTGATATTATCAACTTACACACTCCATGCTAATTTTGGTTTACACCAAGTTATGGGGGTGATTACGAGAGCACCAGAAGTAAGCGGATAGATAGATAGATAGATAGATAGATAGATAGATAGATAGATAGATAGATAGATAGATAGATAGATAGATAGATAGATAGATAGATAGATAGATAGATAGATAGATAGATAGATAGATAGATAGAAACGCTGAAAGTACCTGCAGGTCACTAAGAAATAATTCACATTCAAAAACGGAACACGTCAATGCTTTTAGTTTACCTCGGAGACTTTTCTTTTCTGCCTCTTGTCTGTTTTCCTCTTGCTTGCGCAGCATGTCGAGTTTTCAGTGTGCGAGACTACCTGTTTAGATGGATGAAATAAAGGTCACTTAGGATTGGTGCTACCCGCAAACCTGTGAATATACCTGTTTTTTTACATAATTTTCACCCCCTTTCACAAGTGCGTTATTAAAGTAAAACAATAACAACTCTAGAAACGAATCTATAGAAGCATCCCACAGGGCTCAGTAAACTTAAGCCCGTCGTTATGCTGCGTGACAACTTCTTTCACACTACACCAAAATTTGGCTTGTTACAAGATGCGTCCCCAACATCTATACTAAGACTTGGAATTTCAGAAGTTGTCATTACATAGGAATTGGACTATTTCTCGAGAATTCCTTACTGAAAACGGGTCATAGAAGCCTGATATTCAGGTACTATGAAGAAAAGATGGCACCTTGTGCTGCCAAATTTCGGTATCTGAAATTATTGCTCGGAAAAGTACTTTCAGCTTGTACGTTTTGGCAGTGCAGAATAGCTCAGTGTGATTACGTGTTACCTGCCTTATACACTCTCAGCAATACGTTGAAGACGCAGACGTTCTAACAACTTAAACGCTTGCTGTACGGCCTTCCTTGCAGGAACATTCTTTGGAGCAAAATTATATTCTAGCATAGTATTGGCTTTTCACCAAAAACAACTGATGGAACAATGACAATGAATCCTTCTATATCAGAATTTACCGCTCTAAGCTCGTTATGCACACGAAAGTCCATAACCGGGCAATGTCCTTCAGCTTACGTCCACACGTGTTTATTTTAGCAAGCACATTAACACACTCAAACAGCTCGGGCCTACATACCTTATTCGGTGTAAATTTACTGTAGCCTCCCTTACTCACTGCTACTCTGAGGACTGTAAGGTAGTACGAATAAATAATTTGTTTAAATTTTTTGGAGGTGTGTATTATTTATCAAAATGTTTTTTCGAGCTGCTTGGCAAAGTTCGTGGTGATAAATTAGGTCTTACTAACGACTGGGTTATTTTTATACTTTTTGTAAACGTTTGCATTGTTTTTTATTTATGTAACTGAGCGAGCGGAAGGACTATTGACAAGATGACTGCAGTTTCGAGTTTGAACAAGGTTATTTTAAGAGCTTGCAGCAGCTGAGATTGGTCAGGAGACCCAAACTTCCTTGTTTCTGAGTCAATAGAACAGAAAATTCTCCGCACGGTTCTTCAATCGTTGGAATGAGCAACAACCACCAAAAACAACAAAAACCTTGTCCCCGAGCACTAAGGGTAAACGTGGCACTAATGCGATGGGAAGCAACAGTCTAACGCACAGAAAGACAAGGCAAACGTGTTGTCACTGAACAACAGCTAAAAGTATAAATGATTTGCTACGAGTACATATCATACAGAATCGCAACGTAGTAAGGCGCCTCAGTGCATCAGTGCAATTGCGCTAGATAATTACGCAATCCAAGAGCAGGGCTTTGTGGTATCGTTGAGCGTAGATTATTTAAGGGAATTATAAAGAGTCCTGAATCGTCGCCCTAATGCAGGATGAATTCGAGAGAGAAACGAGAAGCAGGTGTTTTAACCGGGCGAGTTTGACCTAAGACTTTAGACGTTATGTACGCGCTTATATACTATTTCAAGCACTTACACTAATAAGGAAAGTATGCATTTCCTGCAGTGTTCATCCCAGTTCTGTGATTTCCTGTACTCGCTTACGGAAATGAAAAAATGTTTGTGGTATCGCATTACCTACTATGCTTTCTAATATTATAAATATTTAACTCATCTTTAGATATGTTTTATGGGGAATAGTGAAAGCGCAATTAGGGGTGCCAGGATATGTTACCAAACGTGTTAAAAAACAATGAACCAGCAGACATAAGGCTGAAATAATAGCTTAACAATTGTTTCGAATTGCACAAGCATACTCTTAGAGTGGTCGCCGTTAAATTTGGTTATCTATTCACGCTACTTTCATGAAAAAAGGAGTCGTTTTATCGACATTGCATCAAATGAAGGTAAGAGCATACATAACTCTCAACTTGCGCGTTTAAAACACGTGTCACATTTCCCTTGTTCAGGTATTCACCTCACTGCCTCTGCACAAAATGTGCTGTGTCAGAGCTTCATACAGCGCAGGTTAAGACTGGGTATCTCTTAATTATTGTTTGAGACTACAATTCTGAAGTTAATGTGCTGACTCACTCGATATTGTCCCTTTTTTGATCCTCTACAGCGGCAACCATGAATCTCGTGGACGAGGCGCATGAGCTGTCCGAGCCTACTTCGGGTCCAGTGCCAGTCGACGCCAACGGCAGCGACAACATCACCGAACTTGAGAATGCCGCTCACCGCGATGAGTCCCTGGCACTCATCGAGCTCGCCATCCTCACCTTCATCTTCGCGCTCACCGTTGTCGGAAACTCGTGCGTGCTGGTGGCCCTGAATGCGCGCCGTTCCAAGATGACGCGCATGTACTACTTCCTGGTACACTTGTGCGTTTCCGATCTGACCACCGCATTCTTCACGGTGCTCCCTCAGCTCGGCTGGGACGCAACATACCGCTTCCAGGGCGGCAACCTTTTCTGCAAGTGCGTTAAGTACGGCCAGATCCTGGGTCCTTACCTCTCTTCGTACGTTCTCGTGGTGACGGCCGTGGACCGGTACCAGGCCATATGCTTTCCACTCTCAAACTGCTCCTGGACGCCCACCAAGTCCAAGCTCCTGGTGTCCTTGGCGTGGGCTGTATCGCTGCTCTGCTGCGTGCCTCAGCTGTTCGTGTTCAGCTACCAGGAGGTGGCGCCGGGCGTGTACGACTGCTGGGGCACCTACATCGAACCATGGGGCCTGCGCGCCTACGTCACGTGGTACGCCGTCAGTGTATTCTTCATCCCGCTGCTGGTGCTCGTCTTCACATACGTCTGCATCTGCCGCGCCATCTGGCAGAACTTGTACCTGAAAAGAAAAAGCTCGGACGTTGAAGGCCGTGGTAAAGCGTACCGCTTCAAGAGTCCGCAAGGTGGCGCCACCTCCAGCACCGACTCGTCTTCGTACGTGCGGGGTCCGCTGGTTCCGCGCAGTCACTCTTCAGCTCGCGGCCTGTCAAGGGCCAAGATCAAGACGGTCAAGATTACCGTGGTGGTGATCAGCTTCTACATCATCTGCTCGTCTCCGTTCATCTGCGTCCAGATGTGGATGTACTGGGGCTCGGGACTCGACATGAGCGACGCCTGGACGAGTGAGTACACACGCGAAGCATTCCACGCTGCGTGTGTCATAGTTTCATTTTACACATAGCTATGCGTTTTCTAAGTTGTATAACTTGGTCAGAAGACAGGGAATTAGACTATAAATCACCTTGGTGCAACCTCGTCTTCACCGAGTAGATTAAACTCGAAATTATATTTAAACGTGCGAAGCAGCGCACGGACAAAGCGATGGTCTTGTTGAAGGTGTGAAGCAGGCCACTGATACAGGCAGTAGTGGTCCTGTTTACTCGTTCTTCGTTTTATGTCTTTTCTGCATGTGCTGCTTCCGTGGTTAAAATGAACTGTCACTGACCCACCCAACTTTCAACTATAGTATTTGTAGACTACATAACGTGATGAATGGTTATTTTCCACCTAAAGTTGGCGTAGTTATGTAAGAGTACTTAAAATGCATGATTTCGAATAGAAGAGCAAATTTTACAGGCAGAACAACAACAACAAACAAGGAGTATATTTTCTAAACGCAATATTGCGAATGACAGGATAATCAACAGACGGACGTGGGTATTACGGAAAGCGACGATATGTTCTGCGACCCAGAAAGAAGCGCGGCTCAGTGGCACAAGAGAGAGATATGGGGAATCAAGGATCGAAAATGGAGATTTGAACCAATGTGCGCAGTTGGTGTCCGCTCGTCCGCGTCCTCGATACACTAAACGACTAAGGCCGCGTCATTCCGGGACGGCTGCCACGGTGCGAGTCAAAAATTTTTGACGCGAAGCAACCTGCAGCGCGTGTTCCCTTTCTCGCAGCAATATCGCGCTCCAGTGATCCCCGTGCGTCGCGGCATTCCCTAGTTCAGGTTCTGACACCCTCAAGTCAACCTGTGTTCGCGAATTCACTTGAGGTGCTCAGATACCGATGAAACTTTGCGAAGTGTCCGGAGGCAAGATCTCGCCTCTCTGCCATGACACGAAGCATTTCCGTACGCTACAGTGACTTTCCGTTCGCTACTCGATGTTTCTGACACTGTCGCGTAAGCAGAGTAGATTGCATGCTCACGCAAGAATTTGAAGTTTGCGTCTCAGTCTTGACAAAGCACGCGGAAGCAGAAGCACTACGAGCTCAGCCGGAGGACGAGCAGTGAGACGCGTCCTCCGTCGCTGGGCTACAACCATGGCGAAAGCATTCTTTCATGAACTCTCACCGATTGGTTCCAGTTGAGAACTTATTCTAGGCAACGTCCGTGCAAGATATTCGTGAAATTTTAGGTAAAATTGATCGAATGCTGAAATAAGCACGCGTGTTCAATAAGAAGTGCACATTAGCCACTCTTACGAGCAGGCATTATCCTGCGATTTTTGTGGCGCCAGCATCCGTTGAGCTGCACATGTGTGCCTAAATAAAGTACAAAAAGTGGGAAGGTTGTGTATATGCGTTTGATACAAAGACTTATTCTTTTAATACGCGCATAAGAGGTTCCCCAAATCATGCTGATTCGCCTGTACAAATTTAGAGGTGTACAAACAGGTTTACTGACTAATATACCATCAGAAAAGCTCAAAGCCAAGGATAGCGGTCAGTAAAAGTGTCACTTCAAGAACAACTTACAATCAATGAATGTCCTGCCAAACTTATACGAATATGCACACGCACTGCGAAATTTGAATGTTTCTTTTTCCGCTAAAACACATTTGCATAACCGATTCGGCACAATGCTTATCTTCCGCTGTTTTTTCTTTGCGGGCAAACAATAGGGCGTTATTTACGCTTTTGAGCTTTTTTTCCCGCCCAGTTAACGTAACATCTGATATCCCCGAACACGTTAAATATGCAACCTTTAGGAAAGCCGGGATCAAAACATTGCGATGGTATATACATTCGACAAAAAAAAAAAAAAAACTCGCTATAGTAGAAGCTCAGACGCACGCATTATAGCAAGGGGAATAAAACAAATCCCCCACGATCATATTACTTCGCTCTTCAGAAAAGAGAAATGTGGACGCGACGACTTAAGGGAAACGTCAGCAGCCAAGAAATTATTTGTTTCCGGGGGCATCAGCACGCTGAAGGGTCGCGGGAACCAACTTTGCAGCTGTTGCTTTCAATGTCCGTAAGCACTGGGCTTTTATTTCCTGCATGCAATTTTTTTAACGGTGGACCTGTCGTAGCTGCCCGTTGTTTGTGTGGTGCTGCGGAAAACTACAAAGGTGGCCATGCGGCAAGGGTATTGGACAGGCCCAGCTAACGAGCACAGCAGGCATGCGACGGTTAAACACTGGAAAAAGGGTACACAGTTCGGCCAGTTGGAATATGCTCATGACGGCAATTGCCACTGTTGTTGTTGCTGCTGCTGTTGTTCGTCACAGAATGGCAAAACCCACCACGGGGGATCGGCCCCGAAACGTGTGATGACGGCCGTCGAAAACATAAGACGGATGGTTTGTTGGTTCCTCATAAACTTGGCGCAACCCACCCAAGAAGATAGGGAATGAATCGTGCGGTGCCTTGATTTCAAACTAATTCTGTTCTTCAAGGGAAGGGTTGAATCGATAGGGTATTACAGATAATAATTTAAAGTTGTAGGATTTCAAAGCATAGAGAAATCTTTGAAAAGGATGACATAATCAACAAACACACAAAAAAAACAGAAAAAAGACATATACGCATAAAACAACTGAATTTAGCTACGTTTGGCATTTCATTCTTTTAGAATCTCGTAAGAAATCGTAAGAAGACGGTCGGGTGGAGGCAAACAACTGTGTCGTAGTTTATTTCTCCTCATCCGTGTTCTGTTTGCGCTGACCGCCATGGGATAAACAATCACTCTGCTCGGCGAAGTGAAGCACGTGAAGAAAAGAGAGAAAAAGAAAAATATAGAAAATAAAAACATAAAGAGAGAAAAACAGAGCAAGATATAAAGAGTAAGAAACAAAGCAATCGAGAAAGAAAAAGAAGCTTGAAGAAAGAGACACATAGAAAAAAAAACATACAAGAATATATAAAGACAGAGACAGATATAAAAATACAGGAAAGTATAGAAATAAATTAACACGAAAACAAGATAGAAAACAAAATTGGCCCCGTATTTGAATGCCTCGCTGCAAATGTCGGAAGACGATAGTCTTGCGTGTGGAGAGAGTAAACAAAACGTTTATTTGATGTTCTGCGCGAGAAACTCGCTTAATTGTATTCTGGAAGTGCCGCGTTAGAGAGTCTCAATCCGTGCAGCGAAGGCGAACGAGCGCATCGAGGCACGCAGGACACGAGCGCCATCTGGCAGTTATCTTTGAAAACGAATGAAGGCGTGCGCGCCCGCGGAGAAAGATGCGCGCCTGTCTCGGTGGCGATAAGGTGTAGAACGCAAAGCAATGGGCAGGTGCCACCACCGTGTCGCCTTAGCAAAGCGTTGGAAACACTTGCCTTTTTGAGTATCACGTTGCACTGCCAGCGCAGCGTCATAAACGCTACGGTCCTTAGAATTACTTTTGTGTGCCTTCTCTAGTAAAAAGGCACACATACAATACAACGAAGTGTTGTTATGGTGCCTCAGATATGCGCAATAATTGCTTTTTAATTGACAATCACACAAATGTGAATGCCGACTCTTGAGAAAATATTAGTGGGCGCTGTGGATGGGGTTGGCCGTTTGAGTTGTTGTTTGGGGCTGACCTGCCGATAGGGAGATCGTTACTGTGGACAAACAGACAAATGTACAGACAGACTTACAGAAAGACAGACAAACCAAAATTTTGGCGTCAAAGGTCCCCAAGAAAGACTATCGTCTTTACAAAAGCAGAGAACCAAACAGAGAGAGAAAGACAGAGTAAAAAAAAAAAAAAAAACAACGAACGAAGCAGAATAAGTCCCCCAGCTGCGCTCTTCCTTCAAGCTTGGCATTACTCGTGTGAAGCTGCCTTGTTTATTTACTTGTGAAGCACTTTAGGGGGAACAGGCTGTCGTATGCTGTCATCGTTGCTTGGCGAAACACGGGCAAACAAAACCACATTCGGCATCGCTAGTTGTAGCCTATTGATCATGATAATGATGACCTCACATGGATGGCGCAAAGGGGATGGACTAAGAACCAGGTGGCAGCTGTAGCATGTTGAGCGCATGCTCGCACCCAAGGGAAGTAACCTTCTTTTTCTTCTTCGAGCGCCTTCGAGATGATAATGGCTGAAGCAAATAAACGTGGAATACATCCAAGTGTAGCATATTCAGCGCGCGCCCGCGCAAAGATGTTTTGCTTGTCTTGAGCTAGAGAGCCTGAATGATGATAATAAGTGATTTGATTGATATGTGTGGTTTGATTGATATGTGGGGTTTAACGTCCCAAAACCACCATATGATTATGAGAGACGCCGTAGTGGAGGGCTCCGGAAATTTAGACCACCTGGGGTTCTTTAACGTGCACCCAAATCTGAGCACACGGGCCTACAACATTTCCGCCTCCATCGGAAATGCAGCCGCCGCAGCCGGGATTCGAACCCGCGAGATGATAATAAGCGCAGACAATTACTACTATGGCTAGCAAGAAAACGACTACTCAAACTACGTGTAAATGTTGAATGAGGAAGCAAGCGAGAAATAGAAAAAGAGAGAAATAAAGGAGAATAAATAGGAACGAAAATAGAAATATATTGCAATTAAGGAAAAAAAGGCAAAAATTATTTGTAAGAAAAGACAAGAAAAAAAATTGGCACATCGCACGTACAGTGGAAATCGATGATATGCGAAGCACGAATGAGAAAGGTTGATATGTCATTTTAAAATCAGCACAATGTTACGAGGTGGAAATAAATGATGTCGTACATGACTTACGTGTCGTGATTATCATGTTTGGATGTCTCGTTTACCTTCGTCATCTATTTAAGTCACGTGATACAAATTTAGTATATGTGGAGCTAGTGAAACGGCCGCGAGCACGCTATGAGCGTGGTATGTTGTCAGCTTGTCAGGATTATCATGTTTGCACCAGTCATACACTTTCGTCATCCATTGACGTCACGTAACACCGAATTTGGCA